CCTGTAGTTATGTCTGGGTACATACTCACTTATCAGGGTTTGGTTCTAGGATCCACATATGAGGGAGAACATATGTCGATTTTTTTTTTTTTTTTTTCTGAGCCTGTGTTACTTCACTTACTATAACAGTCTCTAGTTCCATCCATTTACCTGCAAATTTCATGATTTCATCTTTCTTTCCTGAAGCGTAAAACTCCACTGTATAAATAAACCACAATTTCATTATCTATTTTTCAGTTGAGGGACACTTAGGTTGCTCCCATCTCTTAACTATTGTGAAAAGAGCAGCAACAAACATGGATGTACAAGTGTCTCTGCAACAGGATGAGTTCTTTGGGTATATATCATACGGTAGATTCAGTTTTAGGTTTTTCTTTAAAGAGTTCTCCACACTGCTTTCCATGGGATTGCACGAGTTTGCAATCCCACCAGTTGAATAAGCGTTCCCCTTTCTTCACATCCTTGTCAGTCATTTGTTCTCTTGATCTTAGCCAGTCTGACTGGGGTGAGATGAAATCTTAAAATGGTTTTAATTTTCATTTCCCTAATTACTAGTGATGTTGAACACCTTTTAAGATACTTCTTAGCCATCTTTATTTCTTTTGAGAACTCTTTGTTCAGCTCCTTAGCCCATCTTTTAATTGGGTTACTTCTTGTCTTCTTGTATTGATTCTCTGTTTTTTCAGTTCGTTATATATTCTGCATATTAAACCTCTGTTGGATGTGTTGCTGGTGAAGATTTTCTCCCATTCTGTGAGTTTTCTGTTCGCTTCCCTGGTTGCCTTCTTTGCTGTACAGAAGCTTTAGAGTTTAATGAGGTCCCATTTGTTGATTCTTGCCCTTGTTTCCTGAGCAATTGATGTCCGGTTTAGAAACTCCTTTCCTACACCTATGTCTTGTAGGTTTTTCCCATTGTTTTCTTCTAAGAGTTTCAGAGTTTCAGGCTTTACATTGAGGTCTTTGATCCATTTGGAATTGACCTTTGTTCAGGGTGAAAGATAGGGGTTTAGTTTAATTCTTCTACAGGGGAGATCCAGTTTTGCCAGAACCATTTGCTGAACATGCTGTCTTTCCTCCAGTGAATATTCTTGGCCCCTTTGTCAAATATCAGGTGGCTGAAATTGCATTTACTCATATTTGGGTCTTCAGTTTTGTTCCATTGATATATGGGTCTATTTTTCTGCCAGTACTCTGTTGTTTTTATGACTATAGCTCTGTAATACAGCTTAAAGTCTGGTATAGTACTCCCCCTGGCATTGCTATCCGAGGTCTTTTGTGCTTCCATATGAATCTTAGGATGGTTTTTTCCAATTCTGTGAAAAATGTCATGGGGATTTTGATTGGCTTTGCATTGAATCTATAAATGGCTTTTGGTAGGATGGTCATTTTCACAATATTAATTCTTCCAATCCATGAGCATGGGAGGTCCTT